CCGGTTCGATTATTTCAATCCAAGACCTTCCGGAGACACAAACCGGTGTGGCCAAGCAAAATACAGGTCCGCTGCACTGCTAATGTTTATTGCAGGAATTTTTGTGAAAACCAAGAACACTATCGGGTTGGCTCCCGATGTCGAACAGCTCAATGCCTTCTTGGCCGCTGCTGGGGTTCGTTTATCCACCATGTTGAAGGTTTCATAAGCTAAGAGGCGAGACAATAGTTCGCCGAGGCCGCAGTATTCCACAGCTTGCCGGACCCTCCCTTCGTCCGTGGCGGGTGGGCCGTCTCGGAGTTCGAGGTAATTTATCTCTCGCTGTGTTCTTGAACCTTTTTTTTTTTACCTTAATTCAGCTCCCGGCGGAGGCTGTTTTGAATGGAACACTAGCTGTGAACACGACAGCGATACAGACCACCGCTCATTGCGAAGCCGCCACAACGTTTGAGCTCACCACACCCGGGACCGCCAATTTCTCCATCCGCGCTACGAATGCCGCCGGGTGCGTCGGCTTCACGACCTTCAACCCTGGTACGTTTCTCTATCCACTTCCGCGAGAACATGATTGAATTAAACTAACTGCACCCTCACAGAAACCTCGGCGTTGAACAACCAGTACGGCGCCGCCAGCGTGCCAGACTGCGGCGGGGGCACGGAGGTCAAGTTCCAGCCAGTCATGTTCTGGTTCTTCCACCGCAAGAATGACGACATTGGCACGCCCCAGGGCGCGAGCGTGTTCTGCTCACCGACGATCAAAGCCTTCAACGTCATCGCGGAGACGGATCTGAACAACGGGTCCATTAGCCGGATTATCCAGCTCGACCCTGTGACGACCTCGAACAACGTCACTGGGAGCCCGCTGAATGGAGTGGCGTTCAATAGGTGGGTTTCCGCGTTTCCGAGTGTTTTTTTGGCGCCTGAGCATTTTACGATTCTAGTGTGAAATTCGCGGTCTCGGACGACAGCTTTGTGCAGGCGCGCGCCGTGTCGATTACGTCTGGTATCTAGGGTTCCAGCTAGCCGCAACGTAGTCTTACTATTTAAAGGGATATCTGGCGCGATCTTCCGGTTTGCGTGGCAGCTTCCAGACGGGCTGCAGTCGGTGTTCGACGACCCGAACGGGTTCCTCAACATCACGAACAAAGTCTTTGTGCGCGCTTATCCACATTTATTTCGTGCGGAAGCTGATATATAGAAAAACCAGACCCAGCACCTGAGCATCTCCGCCAAGTCCATCTACTTTGTCGCCGGCGAATCCAGCTCCCCGGCCTCGCTCGTCTCGCTCGTCCGCAAGCTCTGGATCGAGTGCGTCTTAGTCCTCCTCCCCTTTTCCACTACTAATAATAATCACCCACGGCAGCGAATTCCCCACGCACTTCCTCGCCGCACTCCTCACGCTCATCGGGCTCTCCGCGCTCTTCCTGCACATCGCGCACTCGCGCCAGCGGCGCCGTTTCTTCCTCGCGGCCTCCCCAGGCTCCATCGCCCACATCATCTCCATGACCGCGCACGCGCGCTTCGGCGAGCGGCTGTACCCATACGACGACGACGAGACGCTCGCGCGCAAGCTGGCGGGGCTCCGGTTTGGGCTGGACCCGCGCACGGGCGCGGTGGTGGCGGACCGCGACGCGTACGTGGGAGGCATGACACCGTATGAGGTGACGTCGAGTGTGCGGCGGCAGCGCGCGCCGGCTGTGGATGTGGCTGCCGGCGCTGCTGCGGGGAAGGAGAGCGAGGATGCGAATCTGAGCACGGCGCGGCTCCTCCCGCCGGGGGACGATGAGAAGCGCACTGACCGGGGACGGTCACTCTCGAGGGCGCCGAGCTCAAGTGCGCCGAGTATGAGTCCGAGTCGGAGCGCGTATTTTAGTTCCGCTGCGAGCACGAGTGCGTTGGGCCTCGATGAGCCCGCGGTGATGATGTCTGCGGGCCCCTCGAATCACCATGACGCAGATGCAGGCGCATACTCGCCGCTGCTCCCCCCGCCCGCGTTCAACGATACGGAGAGCAGCAGCAGCATCAGCGGGTACCACCGGTTCGCTGTCACCAACGCATCGCCGTCCGACGTCGAGGCGCAAGCTGCGAGCGCATGGGGCAATGAGAAGCGCGAGCGGAGGTGATTTTAGCTAGGTTTTAGTGCTTGTAAGGACGTGGTTTTTGCGCATGGAACAGAACGGACAGTACTCGCGATTATTGCATATAATAACATTGACATCGGAATTTATGTTACACGGAACACATTATCCTGTCCTTCAAATAATAATATATCAATCCTAAACAGTAATCGCCCCACCGCCCTCCGCGCCCCGTGAGCGCCACCAGCTACACAGCCCCACGCTCAGCACGAAATTGAACGCGCCGACGACGGCGGAGCCCGCGCCGAGTAAAGTAAGGAGCCACCACGTGCGGCCGATGAGGCGGTCGAGCACACGACCGACGTGGCGCTTGAGCGTGGCGTACGGGTCGGGCGTGGGGGCGTAGGAGGGGGGAAGGCGGAGGGTCGGGGGTGTTGTGGCTTGGACGAGGAGGGGCGCTGTCGTTGATGTGTTGGAGGGGGTGAGGGATGTAGTGGACGCGCTTGGAGAGGAAGCGGAGGGTGGTGCAGGGAGGAGGAGGAGCGCGACGATTGGTTTCTGGTGCGCCACTGTTGTCAGTATATTATAAGAGGAAGAAACAAAACACGAACATGATCAGACGTCGTGTACCCCGGCACGGAGGTGTACAGGAGGTTCACAATATTAGATTCCTCCGGCGCGTCGGGCGAGTCTGTATACGTCGCATACAGGATGCGGTCTGTCCACGATGGGGCGCGTTTCATGCTGTGTATTCTAATTAGTCTCTGAATAATAATAATAATAAAATCGCGGTCACCTATACAGATCGACCTCACCCAGATGGTACTTGTAGCTGCACTTGAAGCGCCAGAACTCGCCCTCGCGCAGGCCGATGAACGCGCGCTGGGCTGGGTCGGGGTGGTGCCGCGCGCGCAGGAGCTGGTCGAACTCCTTAAGCTGCACACGACCGTCGACTGTGTCCAGCGTCTCCGCGATTGCTGCTGCGGACTGCGCATTGCCCGCAAGGAGGGGGTGCTCAGGCGGGAGCACGATGCGGAAGTTGAGGTCGCCGAGCACGAAGAGATGGGAAGTGTCGTAGAGCGTTGTCTTACCATCGAACAGCAAGGTGCTAACAATATGCCGCCAGTCTGCGATACGCTGTGCGAGCCTGGGTGCGTGTGCGGTGAGGTGTGCGCATACAAAAGTGAATGTCTCGCCCACTGCGCCGTGGTCGCCTGGGACGCGGAAACGGACTGCGACTGCGCCCTTGTTTGCCATGTACGCGGGGCCTGTGCCCGTCCAGCTTGTCTGAACGTCGCACGCCATGCGCCCCACGCCGGCGTCGCGTGCATACACAAGCAGCGCGACGCCGCCGTGCACGATCCGTGCAACGAGAACATACCGCTCCTTGCCATGTGTTTCGAGCTGCGCAAGGATGTGTGCAGTGCGCGTCTCGAGCACCCGGGTGGCCAAGCCTGAAACTACGTGGGGGCTCAATTATGATAATATAAGCTGCAAGACGAGCCCAACCCACGTCCGAGATGCAAAGGCAGCAGCTCCTGAAAGCCGACTGCAATAATATCTGCAGGGCGCTTCTGGTGGGCCAGGAACGACGACACTTGCAGCGTCGGGCTCAGCCAGTCGACGAGGTCCTGCGGAACACCCTGGTCGCCCTGCAAATTTGTGTTGTAGCTGGCGAGCTGGACAAGAAGCGACATGCGTGTGATACAAATTCTAGCATGTATCTATTTTCTCTATTTCTACGCAGGGGGGCCCCTGGACACGCCGAGATCGCGCAGCTTGCCCTTGGCAAGGTCGTAGACCCAGCCGTGGACCCAAATCTGCTTGCCCTTCTTGCTCTTGCCGTTCGCCCAGGCCTCGACAACCGTCTGCGCGGCACACAGGTTCTCGACCTGCATGCGGACGTTCTCCTCGACGATGAGCGGGAGCGCCTCGGCCTTGGACACGCTGCTGAGCTTGAGCGCTGCGACGCGCTTGGTGAGCGGCGTGAGCCATTGGTTGAGCGCCGCGTCCTTGGCCAGCGACGGGTCGATGATGCACGTCTGCGCGTGCGGGGAGAAGCTGGGTGAGCAGGCCGCACCAAAGCAGGCGGCAGCGCCTCCACACTCGGTGTGCCCCACAATCACCACTGCAGAGAAGGTTGGGACGGGCTATGTAAAAGAGGAAGAGAGAAAGCACCGTGTTCGACCCCGAGGTGGTCTAGCGCATAGGTCAACACGGCCTGCACGCTGTTGTCGTCGAGCTGGAATTGACTGCGAATATTATATTAGCAGTATACTTATCCACCAAGACAATACGTACTTCGCGATATTACGGTGCACAAATATCTCCCCAGGGCGCACGGCGGTCACCACGCTCTCGGGCACACGCGAGTCCGAACACCCAATCCACAGCACCTGCATACAGTAAACACCCACATTACAGGCACCGCGCAACACCCACCTGTGGCGCCTGGCCAGAGGCACTCTCCGCGAAAAATCCGGGCTCTTGCTGCCGCACCTGCTTCGCCCACTCCTCGTTCATCGCAAAGTACCGGTACAGTGCGGGGTGTGGGGAGCTCATTCTGTTTTGATATGGGGGGTGGTAGCAATGGGAAGAGGTAGAGTAAAGACAGTGGCGGAGATACTACTTATATCACGCCCGATTCGGCAAAGTTGCATCGCAATTGCATCGAAATCAAAACAGCGCTAGCTCGCCGCTATGCAACCCGCATCATCAGGAAGCACACCGCCCATCAGCGTTCTTGGCGCCGGGACTCTAATGGATTGCATTGCTCTGCATTGCTCCTGTCTGCCGCCACTCGCAATTTCTCCCGCCACAATGAAATTCATATTGCGCATTGATCGCGTATCAATTAAAATTCGCTGAAATTACCAGGTTGTGTCCATCCTCTAGGGGGCCAACTGGGAGTCTCATTTCATCGGCGTCATAGCTCAGTTGGGAGAGCAGCAGACTGAAGCTTATCACGAATATCTGAAGGTCCCGTGTTCAAGCCACGGTGATGCCATTTTTTGGCCTTTTCTTTTAGACCATGTTCTCGGCTGGATGTTTCCTTTTGGATTCAAGACACATTTTTTCCAACACATTGCAAGCCAGTGATTATAAATATTCTCATAAAGTATCTACAAGGTAAAATGGCAAGTGCAGAATAGCAACTTGAAGCAGCCTACGAGCTGGGCTTCGGGAATGGGTCCAGCATGCCATTCTGTATCCTCCGTTCGCTTCTCGAAAGCAGCGCAGCCAACACGCGCTTCGCTTTTTGGCGAGACTTACCAGCATTTTCCAATTGGGAAGACCCGCGAGTGTTCATTTGCCGACTGGAAGGGGCCGCAGAGGCTTATTCTAATATGAGTCACTCCTTTTTCCTCGCTACGGAGAAATAAACTGTCGTTCTAGATGTACAAATGAGGCAACGCACCTGCCGTCTCGTCTCGCTTGCCATGGGCATGAGGGGACCCACAAAGAGGGGGGGCACGAAAGGGTTGTCAGGGACTATACGGGGCCTTTTGCCAGGGAAAAGATCAACGGCCTTATCCTCTTCCGGTAGATCTTGGTGCTGCAGGCCAGTGAGCAAGATTATAAATCATGTTCCCATATGCAAGCGACACACGATTCGGTAGAGCATACGAGTAGTCGCTGCTGCGGCCGAGTGGGCAGTCGAGAGAGCGTGGGCATCCGTACTGGCGTTGAAAAAGTGCATTAAGCGGGATACTGGACGGCGCTGCGGTTCAGTAAATAAACAAGAGTGTAGCATTCCTGCAGCACCTTCTCCAACAGCATGCTCCGAAAGCCTTTGTCTGTCCGTAGCTTTACTGAGCCGATTGTGGCTGAGATTCCACGTTCTATAGGCTTCGTATGCAGCTGCGTGTCCAATGTCCGCAGGACGCATCTGGTTGCCCTACAATGAAAGTAAGTAGTATCAACGACCCCTGAGTCCGCATTCCAGAACAACTGACCTCGCCGGCGTATGCGCGACGATGCCAAAGCCTGGCTTCGTGGCGACCTACGCCTACTAGTAGGTCCAGGTCGTCCCTCACTGACGGAGAAATTACTGGCGGAGAAACCACTGGCGACGAGAGGAGTTTTGCCGTGGCTATCGCAGCCTCAAACGCACGCATGCGTGCACCGCTGTCCATTTCCCGCCCGCACAGCTGGATTAATCGGGATGCCTCAGCCACAGCAAGCCCAACGAGACCTTGCTGTTGGCGGTCCACGTCACTAGTGAGAGATGCGTAGATGGCAGTGTCTTTGGTCCACATTTGGTACGCCTCGTAGGCTGCCGCGTACCCGATTTCAGTGGAAGCTAACGTGTGGAGTTTGTTCTGAGAATAAAATGCAGATTAGGGTGCAATGACCGGAATAGCACTGCAACTAGCCTTCTTATAAACGCGGCGATGCCAATGTCGCGCTTCGTGTGGGTCCGCGCCGACAATGTTGCTGTCATTTCCATCTGAACCATACTCCGACATTACGGTCATAGCCGCATCATAGAGAGAGACCTCGTAGTCCTCAGGCGTGTCTTCGTATCTTCGGGTCGTGGTAGGACGAGGTTTGGCGTGCCGTTGAGTACGTTCATTATTCTTCCTCGGCTTGTTACTAATCATCCCGACGAGACTGGTTATTCCCGCTTCGATACGTTCAAGACTCGAAAAATGGCTGTTCGACAGATCCTGGAGTGAGATGAGGGATCGTATCTACAGTGGATGTGGTTCAGAGAGATTTTAGGAGAAGCGCACGCCAACAGGACTGACCTGAAATAGGGACAACACCTGCTGCAATTGCTGTTCAAGAATTCGTATGCGGGACACTGTCTTTTGGGCAAGCAGAAAGCGAGCAATATATGTGCGGCTTTCCTCTTTCTTGATGAGGTCCAGGATTTCAAAGAGGGCGCTAGCAAACTGCATAAATGTTCGCGTCGAGCTAATTCCCCGGAATACTACATACCTCTCAAGCGCTCTAACATTTGACAGGAGTCTACCATCGGCTTGGACACCTTCCAGTGCAGATGCAATAGTCAGGAAACATTGGACAGCTCGCTGTGTTAGGTCGAGGAACCGCTCCCCGTTCTCCTCCGCCAGAGACACAACTCGGAGAATAGACAGTACGGTGTCAGCTGCAGCCTCGAGGAATGGAACCGGAGTGAACCTGGCCACGGTCTAAGTACCACCAGCTCATCCACTTCAGTTCAACTATAATGGGCAGATGTATCGCACCTTGAGCAGGTCAAGTATAACCAGAGACCCATCACGGACGTTTCCGGCTACCTTTGACTGTCGGCCGGTATGATCGAATTGGGCTGCATATCGAAGTCCACTGGCCATTGGAGGTCGAAAGATTGGAGTGAAAGGACGATGCTGTAGGACGATGCTGTGTGAGAGAGGGGCGTGGGTATCTTGCTTGATGTATATTTGAACGGCTTTAAAGTGCCAAATCTAGAACTTTGAACTTCTCTCAGAGGACAGACGCTTTAGTGCCACTGGATCTAACTCGTACCTCGTTCACTAAAACTTTGAACAAGAACAAGAACAAGACAGATTGAAGAAACTTGCGAGCACAAAATCATACCACTAGAAAATCAGCCAAAGAGCTGTAGTCCATGTCCATGGAAGTCCAAATCGTCGAACAGTAAATACGTTCGCGTTCGTCTCGGCAAGAGAGATGACACAAATCTGACGACAAGTTGTCGAACATCGGAAAGATCCGAAGGATTCAAAAAGGTATCCTGAAATTCAAGCGGAGAGCTATAGTAAATCACGGTGGACCTACATAATACGCATCCATTACGCCCGCAAGCACCCAGCAATTCCCCGCAACATACACGAGCCCACGCACCCATAGTCCCAGGAAAACATTATCGCCCAAGAACTCCAGCTTGTACGCCTCTGCAAGCCAAAGCGCCTGCGTGCCAGTCCACACGCCGAGGTACGCCGCAGCTTGCGTTCGAGAGAGGGAAAGGCGCGGGAGGAGCAGCGGGAGGAGTAGGAGGTACCAGAGGAAGTACTGTACAATGCGAGTTGATACAAGAAACAGAAAAGACGGAGGAAAGACCCACCTGCGACGTGCACACCTTATTAAATACCACGAACGCCACCGTTTGCACGAACCACGCTAACACCAGGTCTTCCCGCCGTCGCCCAAACGCCAGTCCTGCACCGAGCGTCAAAATCATCTGCGGTCCGAAGCTTGCGAGCGGTGAGCGCAGGACGCGACTCCACGCCGATATGTCCTGCAGAGCTGCCCCTGGATCCGGGTAGGTGAGGTAAATCAGGTAAAAGTACGGCGAGAAGTTGTGCCGGTGGTCCAGCCGATGCAGGTGGTACAGATACGATTCGTACAGGAACGGGTAGCCCCACCTACATTCGTTCGTTATCAGCACACATTCGCATGACGACAGGAGAGAAAAGCGACACACAGTAAATAGCAGCAGGCGCCGAGTCCGAGAAACGTTGAGGCGCTCAACACACCAAAGCGTATGGTCCTAGCATTAACCAAACTGTGTGTGTATCCCTTCCACCCTTTAGCGGTGTGCGCGTTGCCGATGACACCGAGGCAGGCGACCCCATAGATGGCAGGGTAGATCTTCCAGTGCGTGCTGAGTCCCAGTAGAACCGCCGCGGCGTCCCACCGCTGGTTGAGGGCCGCGTGAAGGGTGAGGAGCACAAGCAGCGCAAGGACAGACTCCGCAGAGCCGCGCGTGGAAATGGTGAACACGAGGGGATTCAGGAGGTGCAGTGCGCTGTAGAGCGTCGCGAGGTCCGTACGGCTCAGACGCGGTTTCTCTACACCAGGAGATGTGGATTTTGATTTCGGTAGAACGGCTGAGAGCAACAGTGCGTAGATGAGCACCCCGTTGACTATATCACACGCGGCAAACAGATATTTCCCGAATGCAGGGTGTAGCCATTCATTTGGAGCGAGGAGGACCGCAAGCAGTGGCGTGTAGCGATACGTTTCCCGCGAGTATGGACTGGAATACTATTGGATTTCGTGCGTGTAATGAGGATCTGAACCAACGCACTCTCCGAGGTTGAGTGAGATCCCAAAGAGTGATTTGAGGGGCCCTTGGGCGGTGTTTTCCGCACTGGGGTAGAGAAGAAATCGTGCCGCGTCGCTGAATACTCGATAGTCGATGTCAGTGTACTTGACGACCGAGTGAGCGTCGTGCCATTCGCTATAGACAATCAGCCCGACACGAATGGCGGTCGATAGCACAAGCACATCGCGGAACGAGGGTAAAGTTGCAGGCATGACCTGTGACGAGGCTTTGGACGTCCACTTTACGACAAATTTATTTAAAATATATGTACAGAACCGAGAACATATGTAGGCCTGTGAGCATAAAGCCCAGGGGTCCAATCGTACGTGCGACTGAAGTAAGGTAAATCGACCAGAGAAATCCCGTGTCCATCCAGCCAGGTAACGCCATCTCTAACGACTCGGTCTCCTGACTTAGATCTGCGGTGGGGATGAGCAACGAATAGCAGGGGGGAGTAGAATAACTAACGTATTGCGAGACCCACCGGAAACCTATAACAGCGACCTCATGAGTGCCAGCGGAGGAATGTGGAAAAAAGAAACTCACCCTCTCCGTACCCCTGCCTCTGCACAACGGAGCACATGAAGATCTCAATGGGCCGGATGTCGTTGAGAGGGATTTTGCCCTGAAAAAAAATTGAGTTCTCGCCAGACACGCAAAAAGTAAACGCACCTTTCCGGTGGTCTGGTAGAGACCAAGGTGGTGCCTCAACTCCTCCTCGCTGACAGCCCCCGGGGCGTCAATCTTGTTCCCAAGAATGAGGAAGGGAACCTTGGATAGCTCTTCAATTGACAGCAGAGCGTCGAGCTCCGCCTTGGATTCAGAGAACCGTTCAAAGTCGGCACTGTCCACCAGGAAGATGATGGCGTGAACCTCAGGGAAGTAGTCGCGCCAGAGACGACGGGCTGGAAGAGAGGAATAAGTTGTCTGTGACACACAGTATTAAGACCAATTGCGAACCCTGTTGATGT